TGTCCATAATATCAGTTATTATTTCGCCGATCCCTCAGGATTACGCATCATAATTCAATTTTGCCACTTTTGTGTGGAAATGTTTTACTCTATGAAGAATATTCATAATAAAATGTGTATTGAATGAAAACGAATACACACTTGCATGTAGGTATATATTTTATTTGTTTGATGATACATGGCGGCATAAGAGGGAAAGATCAAGATAGTGAGAGGGGGAGAAGGGAGTGTGAGAAAGAGAGAGAGAAAAAAGGAGAAGGGGAGGGGAGAAGGTGTTGAGAGGGAGAGATACAGAGAGAGAGAGGGGGGAGAGAGATAGAGAGAGGGGGAGAAGGGAGTGGTGAGAAAGAGAGAGAAAAAAAGGAGAAGGGGAGGGGAGAAGGTGTTGAGAGGGAGAGATACAGAGAGAGAGAGGGGAGAGAGAGATAGAGAGAGAGAGAGAAAGAGAGAGAGGGGAGAGAGAGAGAGATGGAGGGGGAGGGAGGAGAAAATGGGAAAATACAAGGGTGTGTAGAGAAGGGGGGATGACGCAGACGAAGCATACGGGTCAGTTGGGAGTAAAATACAACTATATGAGCGAAAGAAAAAGAAGAAAGTCGAGATAGGTTTAATGAATGTAAAGGCAGCCGAAATAAGTTATAGTATTGTGACGGACACGGTTTGCCACCTTGCTCGACACGGAATATTTGTCAGGATGCCCCGTGTCTGTTTAGGCGCTCTCCGTCCGTTTGGACAAAGTATATGCCCATAGCTTGATGGCTGGAGTTATTCACTGCTCACAGGCTAGGCGTATCTCAACAACCATGCATCCATCGACTGCAATCGGCCACCCCAAACGTCTTGAGCACATCATCAATCAATTGAACATCCCTCGAGCAATCAATCATGCTTTGTCAACACCTGTCACTGATTCTCATCCCTTTGTCTAACTACGGTTTCACGATCACTGCTCTAAGAAATGAGACCAATCACGAGTTGCATGCCGAATTCTTTTAATAATGCGAACCAACCATGTACCAACCAAAATTCGGGGTATACTCAGAAACAAGTGCAGACTATGTAAAACTCAACTAAAGGCCAGCGCCAGCCTCGGTGAGGCTGGCCTGTATCGGATACAGAGCAGTGGAAATCCCTAATTACACAAACCTGGGCGCCCAACATTTTCCATATACTTAAATGTATAAAAGGGCAATTATGTCCTCGTTAGTAAACAACACTTTAACACAACATTTCTGCTTATTCCATTAAATCATCAAACATAATCTTCAGTACAACCCATTATTCTTGATTAGATAACTTACATACAAATAATATCCCAAAAAGAAATATGATAATTGCACCAACATGATTTAAATATGTAATTTATGCTCATTTTCCTTCATTTAGTAATTGCTAAATCAACGATGCACCATATTGCTATAGCGCATGCGCGTATAATATGCGCGCACAACAGAAAATGCTTAACCTTCATCCAATACTAAAACACTGATTTGTTACAGTAAATCAGTGATATACAACAAAGCAGCGCAGTACTAAAAACGTCATTCAGAACAGTGTCAGTGGTGTTTATTTATATAGGCCTACCAGAGGCGTACGCAGGGGGGGGGGGGGGGTTTGGGGGTTCAACCCCCCCCCCTTTGGTATTTTTATGTGTGTAAACCCCCCTAAAAAAAACTAAACCCCCCCCCCCTTTTTTTTTTTTTTTTTTAATTAAAAAAAAAATTAAAAAAAAGTATGCCCACGACGGCTAACGTAAAGTGACCTCACCCCCCCCCCCCAAACGAAAACAATTTTCAAATTTTCAAATTTCGAGACCAAAAAAAAAGAAAAAAGTTTCCGCTTACCCCCCCCCCCCCCCCCCCCCCCCCCCCCCCCCCCCCCCCCCCCACTGAGCGACTTTTCGGTTGGCTGAGTCGTTGCGATTTTTTTTGGACTACCAAAAAAAAAAAAGTGTCCGCTTACCCCCCCCCCCCCCCCCCCCCCCCCCCCCCCCTTGACAAAATCCTGCGTACGCCCCTGAGGCCTACATTATATCAAAAAAGATTAGTATACAATGCCATGCACATAAATTCAAACACGCGGAACTACTGTTTTTTACTGCTACTTCATACACTTACCCCTAAAATACTATCAAACTAAATACATGCTACAATTTCACTTTTTAATGATAATATTGTTTATATTTCTTTAGTACTATTTCAACAGGGTTTATATTTAACAATAAATTGATAAAATAATGATTCTAATTCAAAGTGTCCTATCCCTAAATCTGCGCACCTGTGTCGCTGTTGGTAGATCAAAGTAGACTTCTAGGTCAAATACAACTCAATTTTAAATCAAATCAAATCAGTAATTGAGTATTAATGCAAACATAAGCATGTTTATCATTTCACATGGACGTTTTTCTAAGACACTGTGTCAATTTTAACTGAAAATTTCTATTGGGAAACTCATCATTGTCACATTAACTCAGATACACAATGTTACAAGTTTGCTACAACTATAATTTGACGTGAGTTTGTGCATGCATGTGCGAGTGTGTGTGAACACCATACTATAATGATTGAGATAATCATGAGATTTAATTATACATGAAGTTAAAGGCTTCCTAATAGTAGGCCTGATTCCACCTACTTTCGTGTTCTAATTCTTGTGATAAAATTTCAAACTCCTTTAGCAATCGGACCTTTTGAATAAAGTTCATTTGTATTTGAATTTCATTTGTATATGAAATTTTAAAGATGTAAACATTAAAATACAGCGATTATGGATATGCAAAACAAATTCATTTTTGCTACTCAATGTGATTGGAAAATAATGGTTATTCTTTGTAATGAACAAGATGATAGTACAGGTCTAACATTAATGCTTTCTCGGTTGATATCTTTATTATCTATTTTTTCATCTCTGTTTTATTTGAAAATTATTTCATGTATTTCGTAGAAGATGACGTCAGAGGTCATTGTTCAGTTGTGCTTAGTAACCGATGCAGATATCGGAGGCATCATAACCAGGAATGTCACCTGTAAAGATAGAGACAAAATGTGATACTGGATTAAGCTTTATGTCGTTTTTTTCTTTTATTAGATTTCATTACAAAGTATAGACCCTGAGGATGGGGGGGGGGGGGGGGTCATAACGCTGCCTGGTACGTATAATTATGTAGCCCCTTGTACATAGAAGTACTGGAATTTTCATTGGTTTAAACCACGCATCCCCGCCCCCCCCCCCTCCCCCCTCAGTACCTCTCATGAGGGCGTTTTACTAAGATGAACACAGGCACAGCCAGAGTTATCATGCGGGGAGTCGAGGTAAAGCACAAAACGACAAACTAACACGGATTTGCTTGATTGGTACAGCGTTTTAAATGTTCCAGCGACAAAATTAATGTCAAATCAATTGAATTGAAACTCAAACCGCATACCCCCCCCCCCCTCCTCCTGTCCATTACACAAATTCTTACAGCTATAAGCAACTTACGAATTCATCAGTCATTCACAATGAAACATTAACAAATAATTATTCAATGAAAATTATGATAAAATCAAATCATCTTACCATGCTCGTCGACGATATTCTGACAGATCGTGTCGTAACGGCTGGTCCCGACGAGTCTACTGAATGCATCGTCCCACCAGTGGACGAATTCTTTGTTAGCCTTTGAAGTCATCATACTTCCACCACCCGCTACGCAGATATTCGGAAAGTCCGCGGGAGAAATAGTTTCCAGGGCAGCGTCAAGTTGGGGAAGTCGGGCACTGAATGCGACGTCGACCTTTAAAGCAAAAATGCAAGATAAATGTTGTGTTAATTGACTGATTGCTAATTTTAAAAGTGCAAATAAAGCAAGTATATCTATGCTTTTGATTTGGGAGAATGTGGATTCAAGTCTTTATAGAAATATATAAGCACACTTAATCTCAGTTAAAAGTGTTTGCGATTGTCTATGCGCATGCATAAATAAATAAATTAAATAAATATAAATAGTAGTGATATACTACCATTCTCAATTCCCAATCAGTCACTATAACATCACTACAAATAGTCACCGCAAGTCACCACAAGTCACCAACATTCACCGATACAATCACTCAATTAACTTAACAATACATCATCACCATGCACCTCCACTAGTCTCCACCAATAACGGTAACCATCACCACCAGTCTCCACTATAAGTAGCCACTCCCACCGGTTGTCATTCATCATGACCATCCCCACAACCATAACACCACCACTACCACCACCACCACCACCAGTCTCCACTACCACCAGTCTCCACCACCACCAGTCGCCACCCCCACCGGTTGTCATTAGCGAGCTTTAGATTTTGACACCGAACGAACTCGACTACGAGTGACGTCATTATTAAGCTCGTCGTTGAATCTACGTTGGGTCTCCTCTTGCTAGCGCTTAAGATCGATTGTCACCCGACGCGGTGCCAATGTTTAAATGCATGCGCAGTGATGCGCAGTGATACGCAGTGATATGCGCGTGACAAGTTTTCTTTGTTACGTCATAGTTAGTCTGCACAGCTGTTCGAACCTCAGCTGTGCAGAAAACTCCTTAATTTCTTCAAAAAAGTGAAATTAAATAGGTTGAAGTAACGTGATTGATCAAATTCAAAGGTATTTGTTGTTTTCATTGCAGTCACAAATATCTTTTTGAATTATATTCTCAACAGATACTGTTGTCTGATGGCTGGCTTCGGCATTTGTGTCCAGCTCGTAGTCGTTGTGATCACTTCGAGATAAGCCTTAAATTTGCCCGACTCCCGTTGTGTCAATTCACAGACGACGGGCTAGAAGCAGGTGGCGCATGCGCAGTTACTCAAAGTGACGTCACTCGTAGTAGAGGTCGTTCGGTGTCGAAAATCTAAAGCTCGCTATTCATCACGACCATCCCCACCATCACCACCACCAGTTTCATCTGTCAACACTATCCCAAATCACCACCACTATTCTTTCACCACCATCATCACTGTCTTGTCCACGCCAACTCTACCACCTCCAAACACCCCTACCAGTCAAAACCACCACTACTTTTACACACCCACCACCACCACCACCACCACCACCACCACCACCGCCGCCGCCGCCATCACCACCGTCGCTACCACTCCATTCATCATTACCACCATCACAACTTACGGGCACTTTCCGTAAGAATGTTTTCTACCGAGACTTGGGAAGAACACATTCTTATGTGTACCGGAGATATCATTGAAACACATCAAATCTATGACACCCATATTGGATGTTTCCATGTTTGAAACCAAAATGAACATACCCTCTTAGACAGATTAAAATGATAAGACTTACATCTCCATTCTGCACGGCGGCGATCAGGTCTTTCGCGGTAACGTAGGTGATCTTTTGGCTATCGGATGGCAGATCTGCTCCCTGTAAGTAGCAAGAGAATGGAAAGAAAAATAGATTTTATTTGAACAAACTAAAATTGAAACTTAAGTAGGTCACTTCGTAAATAGCCCGTGTACAAAATGATCCTCAAAATAATGTGAAGAGAACTGTTAAATATTAAGAAGTCCCGTTTTGTGCATTTTAGAATAACCACTGCAATAGTGATGCTGAGAATAACTTTCGTTTGCCCTCTTAAAAAGAATACTTCCAGTTGTGTTTCACAGAATTTACTGTCATTAAAGTCTGTCAGTGCATAAATGAATAATGATTACATAACTTACATGAACACGTATCCAGCATTCGTCTCGATGGGTTTTTACACTTTTGTGCAACTAGGAATGTAATTAAATTTCATGCATAGTCTTTGTAAATTGCCTCATTACGAATGATTTCATTCACCTGTTACGAGACATGAAATAATTTATTCAATGGTCAGATTGCGAAAGTTAGATGTAGATGAAACCATGGAGACGATAGAGAGGGATGAATGATTGGGAGGGGAGATAAGGAGAGAGATATATAAGATAACATGATTAGAAAAGGGTTAGGAGAAGAATAAAAAAAGAAGGGGAGGGGGAGAATCGGGAGGAGGGAGGGAGATGAGAGTAGAAAAAACGGAACGAAACAGTGAGTCGAAGCATAGAACTATTTGTAATAGGTCCATGGTAGAAGTTAGTTCTTATATAAAATCTGTACAAGAATAAACATCACGATAATTATGTATCCATACCACGATGGGGAAGGACGAATCGGTGGTGAAACGAGACAGACAAGCCTCATCAGAGAACCACATTTCTAGGAAACCAACTTTGAGTCCTGAAAGATCGGAGTAATCCTGACTGCTTCCACTTTGGGCGTAGAGGGCGACCTTCCCCTTCTGGGAGAATGGTCGTGTGAAGTCGAAGGTTAGAAGACGATCATAGGTTTGGACCCATCCTAAGTTATAATGGAATGTAATAATATACATTTTGATTGTGCAGAAAGGAGTGTTCATTGTTAGTGCATAAAATCTAACATACCCAAATCCTCCTCTTAAAACGATGGTTCAACATAATGTACGATATTTGAAAATTATGATTGTTACCAATATGAAAATTAGTCGTAATGTTGTGTTTGAAAATGTATTTTAACCAAACTCCCTGGAATTATCAATCTTGATTTTCACAACATTTGGGCTTTAAAACTGAAACGACATTTCTATTACCCATGATATAACTTTAAAACAAAACAACAACAAAATGATCACATTAGGCGTTTGATAATTGGACGGCAAACGTTTTTCATACGTCATTAACTTGTGTTTTGCTTTATAGTCTGTTATTGCCTTAAAGTTTCCAAGTTTCCTTTTCCCATTAGAGCTATTTGTAAATATATTTTGACTGCAATGCGTACCTTTATATAATGAAGGTTATTTGGGTAATTTTGATAATCTTTTGCAAAAATTAATGAACTCAAGCATTTCAGAAGATATAAAACATAAACAATCATTAATGAGTATTGATTCTTACCTGTGCATGCGGTGTACCATTTGGCCATCAGACCGACTCCGCCGTGGGCTCTCTCGTTTGATCGGCTGTACCAACAGTTACTGTACAAATCCCATACCAACTCACAGTTCTTGTTGGCTATGTCACAAACTGAAAGTAAAACAGAAATGTCCATACTTTATATTATTATTTGATAATGGAATTATTCATTTCTATTTCATTTATTTATATATTATAGTACCCTTTTCCCCGCCACCCCCCACTCAGTATTAGTTAGGGTACGCATGCTTGTTCCCTCTTTTTGAATGCACCCCCTATCTGAGGACTGCCAACATTTCCGAACCCCCCCCCCCCCCCCTTTCGCGGGCTTTTCGCGGGCTTTTCCTGCCTTGGAGACCCCCCTAAATCATGAAAAATGCTCAATGTACCCCCTAAATTCGAAATAATTTCTCAGGAGTCCAAAGAGATGAGAGAAAAAAAGAAGAAAAAAACACCCCCTTTTTAAAGAAATCTCCGGGTGAAAAGTTAATACACCTCTTTTTTTACAATTCTCGGGCCGGACTTTGCCTCACGAAAAGTACCCCTTTACCGGACATTTTGGTAACACGCATGTGGTCCGTCCGTTCTCGGAGTGGGGGGGGGGGGCCTTTTCAAAGCGAATGTCGCTCTCGCAGGGGGGCCGTGTATGTACAATTAAAAAGACAACAAAAAAACATTACATAAAACATAACAATGAAAATGTAAGCATTAAGAACAAAATATTATGACCCCAGATTCATTTTGTTTAAAACAGGAATAAAGCATTGCTCTTTTAGAAGAAAAAAATACTTTAAAATTTGATAGAATGAATATGATTTGATTCTCAGAATGCATTTAAAATGGTAAGGTTTTCATATATCACGATAGACGATCTGCCTTCAAACAAAATAAATGGCAGACAAATGTATTGGAAAACTGCAATCATGAGTATTATAAGCTTATCAACTCATTTAATAAACACGAGCGCAAGGACTTTCAAATAATCAACCTTAGGCAATTTCATTAGCCTTGTCCGTCACATATATAAGGGAGTTTACAGATAGCACATGGTACAAATGACCCCCAAATATCCACAGATCTTTTACACATGGAGAAGTTCCACTTTGAGCATATTAGAATAATAACTGCCAAAGTCCTAGCTGTGCTTCATGAATACCTTTTATTTGCCCTCTTGAAAAGAATACTTCCACCTGCGTATCATAGAATGTACCGTTGGTGCATACATGAATAATGTTACATAACTTTCATGAGCGCATATCCAATATTCATCTCCTTGGGTTTTACCTTTTTGGTACAAATGACCTTTATCTGCCCATACGCAGATTGTATCTGTAAACTTCCTTATTACATTGATAGTCTGAACATGATTTTTACAGGCAGTACAATAGGACATTGAATTCGGATATGAATTAATTTGTTAAAAGTCTTTGTCATCGTGTACGTAGTGATGTTTCAAAGATTATTTTTCACAAGTTATTTTTTTACAAGCTCTGTAATTATTAGGATCTCTGTCCAGTAGTGCCGTGTTTGTGCCATCGAACTGGATCGACCAAATCAATTGATTCATAATATATATATGCAATATTGTTTTTTCCGTAACATGAGAGTAATTTTAATAGTTTCATACTATTAATTAAATGTAATGTTAACTGTAATTGTATAATTGTTTTAAATGGGGGGCACGCTACAAGAGTCCTATCTCGCACCCCGGGGCAACGTGTCTGACACGGCCGGTTGTAGCAACTACTCCGAAGATCAAGATTACATTGATCTTGATCTAAGGAGACACGAACGAACGAACAAGTTATCTTAAAGGCATAAATAGAATCGAGAGGTTTAAAAACAAGGACAAAAAATTAGAAAATTTGCACAAAGAAACAAAATGTCGGAAAGAAGTGATGCTGAATTCTATTTCAGTAAAGGTAATACATTTTATATTATGTCTTTCCGCTATATTACTCTTTCATGCTCGTCTGATGTGTTGTATCGTACGTGACATCTGATCACAAACAGCGCTCAAAACACGGGGGCGATGGACGATTCGCCCCCGTGAGCTCCATAATCGCCCCCGTCAGGTTGTCCACGGGGGCGATTGCAAAATTAAAAATCGCCCCCGTGGAATTATAAAATAAAGATTATCTTTTCTTATATAACTTTAACACAAAATTGAGTATCAATTTTCAAACCTTAAACTAATGAAATGGAACTTAGATGGCGCTTTCTCTCCCATCTCTATGAGTATTACCGATACAAACAACGGAAGCTCGCAGTGCAGCTAATGCGGCCGTCAGCAGTGGCTATACTGCGCCGGTAGAACCGGTGTGCACGCTGACGCCCAATATCTGCTGGAGCTGGAGACGATCGCGCAAGACTGAAACATGGAGAAGTTTTCGTTGTGAAAAGTGTGAATCCTCTGAAACCTGGTTGTTCTAAAAGACCAGCAAATGATGTAACTCGACCAATAAATCAATATTGAGAAGAAGATCAGCAAAGATGTTGCAGGGGCGGATCTAGGCGGTTTAGGGGGTTTAACCCCCCGATCCCCCTTGGGTTGCCTAGTGAAAATGTGATGTGTATAGGAAAACGCTATCATGTAGTAGTAGATGTCAGGAGATGCCAGGAAAACAGTAATAACGGGGGTTCAAAATAGCAACAACAAAAATCGCCTCGCCCCTATGCGGCTCGTGGACGATGCTCCACATCGTATTTGGGTTACCCCCCCCCCCCCCCCTTAGCAAAAAGCTTGATCCGGCGCCGTCCCTGTGTTTTGGAAGGATATGGTAAAGCATGTACACTGTTGGTCATAATGGTGGAATAATTATTTTTACCGCAATTTATTGATTGATTTTGACAATAATTTATTCCTAATAGATCTAGATAATAGCATACAATCTCAGATTTTATTGAATGACAATTGGGGAGTGTTCGTTTTGCGTGACTGCTAAAGCATGTGTGTACTACTATGCTAATGAACTAGGGGACCTAAGTCCTTAAGTCATAACTGACAGTAATGGGGATTAATGCCTCATAAAAGGGCACTAATATAATAGCACATCGACACGATTTTGATCCTGGGGGCTCACAGTAATGAGGCCATTGCTTAGCCAATGAATCATGACTGTACGCAGCGGGCGCTAGGGTACGTCGACGCCCCACAAAAACAAAATAACAAAGAAAGTGCAATAAATTTTCAATAATTGACTGCATTTTTCCCCGACCCCCAACATAAAAAAAAATCTTCTATGTGGGCATGCCTTTAACCATAATGCATGGCCCTACAGAGGAATATTTCCTTTTGGGGACTGGGGGAAAATGCAATGAATTATTGAAAATTTATTGCATTTTCTTAGTTTTTTTGTTTTTGTGGGGGCGTCGACGTACCCTAGCGCCCGCTGCGTATAGTCATGAGTTATTGGCTAAGCAATGGCCTCGTTACTGTGAGCCCCCAGGATCAAAACCGTGTCGATGTGCTATATTAGTGCCCTTTTATGAGGCATTAATCCCCATTACTGTCAGTTATGACTTAATGACGTAGGTCCCCTAGTTGATTAGCATAGTAGCACACACACATGCTTTAGCAGTCACGCAAAACAAACACTCCCCAATTGTCATTCAATAAAATCTGAGAATGTATACTATTATCTAGATCTATTAGGAATAAATCATTGTCAAAATCATTCCATAAATTGGGGTAAAAATAATTATTCCACCATAATGACCAACAGTGTAAATAAGGTTGTTCCGAATAATGAGGAGGACATTATGTGCAGAACGGGAAGAAATGGAGAGAATGTCATCACGGGCAGGCGCGGATCCAGCATTTCTTAAGGGGGGGGGGGGCAAATTTGAAATTATGCGAGCCAAATATTGGTACGTAATGGTGACCAGCATTGACGTAATGAGGGGGGGTGCAGGGAGGGGCGATTTTCCCACTCCCTCCTCCACAAAGCGCCGAAGCTTTGACGTTCAATTAAATCATTAGTGAAAGAAGGCGATTCGTTGCCCGTTCTCGAAAATAATCCTCGTCTGAATTCAGTTTTACCCCCCCCCCCCCCTCTTGCACGAAGCGCGGAAGCTTTGACGTTTCATTAAAGTATTAGAGAAAGAAGACGATTCGTATTACCATTCTCGACTCGTAATCCTTGTCTGAATTCAGTTTCCCCCTCGAGCGCGATATGCGGAAGCTCTGACGTTCCGTTAATTATTAGAGAAATAAGACGTTTCGTTGTACCGTTCTCCAAAATAATGCTCGTCTGAATTCGTTTTACCCCCCCCCCCCCCCCCCCCCCCCGTCCGCGCGAAGCGCGGAAGCTTTGACGTTCAATTAAATCATTAGAGAAAGAAGACGATTCGTTGTACCTTTCTCGACTCTTAATCCTTGTCTAAATTCAGCCCCCCTCTTGCACGAAGCGCGGAAGCTTTGACGTTTCATTAAAGTATTAGAGAAAGAAGACGACTCGTTGTACCATTCTCGACTCTTAATCCTTGTCTGAATTCGGTTCCCCCCCTCCCGCGCGAAGCGCGAAAGCTTTGACGTTTTATTAAAATTATTAAAGAAAGAAGACGATTCGCTGTACCGTTCTCGAATCGGCTCAAGGGTTTTAGGCACTAAATTACGGTCAGATGAGTATTCAGGGGCCCGCCTTAGGGCCCTCGGTTGGGTCCAGGGCCGGAGTCCCGGAAGCTCAGGGGTTTTAGGCGTTTAATTACGGAAAATATCTTATTTTGTTGTAACACTGGCAGGTAACTATTTTTTCTTTCTTGCTCTCTTTCTTTCCACTTCTGTTTATATACTATTTCAAAAAGAGTTGAGGGGGGGGGGACCTCGAGGCTTCCGATCCCCACCGTTCCGCGGGCCCTGACGTGTAGGCCCCTAGACATCTCAATAAGCATATTTCTTGCCTGGCTGTAAATTTAGGAATTTGTCATTTTACAACAAACGCATAAAAAAGTATAATTTACTAAAAATCTCGGAAAATTATGTCATTTCAGCATTATGTGTAATCCACCTTTATGGAATTAGAAATAAGCCACGTTTGAATTTTATTTCCCCCGAGCCCCCTCCCCAATCAGTACGCCAGTGCCCCCCCCCCCTGATTTACACTTTGTTG